ATTTATGATTTGCACAAACTCAGATGTTGCTGGATCAACCAAATGACCTCTTATGGCAGGATCACGAAGGCCGTCAATCAGGGGAAATTGTTTCTTGAGAAGGATTTGGCCAGCATTGATTTCTGTGTCATATAGCCATCCAGTTTTGTCCAAGATGTTGTTTTTAGTGGCTTCCAGGATTGTGAGTCGCGATTCCGGATCGTCCGGGAAAACATTTGGTAAAGTTAACCAAATTTTTGGCGACGAACTGTCGTCGTCAATCGCTACTGTTGCAGGAGGAGGTTTCTTCACAGTTTCCTTCTTTTCATTTTTCGTTTCGTTTTTGTTGTATAATCTGGGTGAAGATGAACCTTCCATTTCGTCTTCTTTACCGCTATTTTCTTTTAGCTTTCCAAAATCACATTCCCGCTTGCCATACGCGTCAGTTTCTCTTTCACAATTTTCACTTCCTTTGGATGTGGTTGGTGTTTCATCGGATTTGCGAGCATTCACAGCTTTTACTTTCTCTTCTTCATTACTGGTTTCCTCTTCTTTTTCTGTACTGCTTGTCTGCTCAGGGAAGATTGCAGGTTTTGTTTCTTTATAAAATGCCGTTCGATATTTGGTTGTTGATTTCACAGGTACGTGGACAAAGCATGTCTTTCGGTTCATAGCAGCCTTCACACCCACCCGCGCAGTGTATCTGTTTTTTGGTGTCCTTTTAGGTAGGGAAGTTTTACATCGGTTTTCACTAGAGCTGCGTGCCTTGTTGTCCATTTTTGTGCTTTTTCTCATGAAAGGACTGCTCTCACCACCTTCAATGACGAGTCCGTCTTCTGATGTTTTGAACTGTTGTATTTCGTCACGAAGACTCGATAGCTCCCTATGAAGATTTGCCAACGCTTGTTGATCTTGAACTACGAATGTGAGTTGGCGAATTTCATCCAAGAGTATGCGGCATTTTTTCCCTTCACTTTTCTTTTGGTGATGAGTGGACCCTATTGGGATATTGGTTTCAGGAATAGGGGATACGTTTTCTTTTGAACACAGCCAAGGTTTTTCAGGCAGTAGCTCATCCAGCTGTGGACTTTCACCTTTGGCTTCGGGTAAGACACTGGATGGGGAAGGCAAAGGACTGCCGCCATTGAGTAGATCGTAGTCTAGGGTTAGGTATGGCGAATTCCGATAGTTTGGCGGCAGTTTCTCCCAATTGCACTCTGGGAAGTGCTTAAAAATAGCAAAGAAGTGCTTGCAAGGCAAGCGCCTTCGCTGCCATGCCTCACATTCGCACGAGGGTGATGTTCCCTCTTTGTCCCCAAACTGCAGCCGGTACCACTGCCTACTTGACGATTCACTTTTAACTTCAAATACACCTCCAGTGTCTGATGGCTTGATGCTGCTCTTGTTTATATCCATTGCAAGACTGATTTTTTCTTTGCAGTGCTCCACAAAATATCTTGGCCTGTTGACGAGGAATTCCGGTAACTCTTTGTTGTATGTTCTGTACATTCTGTGACATCTGACATTTTTCTCCATGTACCTGCACGGAGACGAAAACGACAAGAGGTTAAGCATTTTAGCATGGGCAGAGTGTACATAACTTTTGCTGTCCCCCGGCGTTAGTTGCACATGTGGTTTTCTCGTAGCCGAAAGTATAGTGAGCACGTACTGATACTAAATGACTATCCTTTGGAAGTGTAAGGTCGCAAGATGAATTGTTGTCTTTTCCATTATTATTTGTTGATGCGTTAACCCACTACGCGCCCCTCAATGTTCAGTAATTACAGAATTACATTGAGTACTTTTCTGGTAAAAAATCGGTGATGAGCACGGAGAGCATTGCACTCAGGCTCTTATCCCTATGGTTAGCGAGGTGGTTGTATTTGAAATCCTCGTTTTGTCTTTCAAGACCGTTGTTGGTGTTGACAGCTACTTGGAGACGATCTTTCCGAAAAGCCCAGACCCATCTCTGAAAAGAAAACATAAAGTGGTGTTTGTACGAATAAAAAATTTGTTGACGCAGGGTTTCTTAGTAAGGTATCTTAAAATTAAAGTTTTCCGNTATTGAACACACAGTTTCATCTTCAGTCACGAAGGACCCTACCACCTGGTAATCAACATTAGTTTTTACCGCCAGAAAAAACAGAGGTAGTGCGTATCGCGTTGTCTTGTACGTAGCGTCAAGAAGGCAGATGTGGTTGCGATACAGGCGAAGGAGTCGCTTTTGCCATGCTGTTTGATGCACAAATAACAATTTCTTGCTTTGTTCTCCCCCCTCTTGAGTGAGACGTACTTCCTCATCCAACTCATCTATAACAACAACAACAACAACAACAAAAAAAAGAAAGCGGTAAGGTAAAATCAAGGGATGTCTCGTCAAGGGGGGGGGGCGAAGATCATAGATATACCATTAACAATACGCTATAAATAAGAACCTTAATGCTTCATTTTGCAGTGATCACCTTCTTTTTCATTTTCAGACCAGACTGGAACCTCCATAGGCGTGTCTACTTGTTCTGAGTGAGGACGAAAGTAAAAGGAATCAGCGTTGTAAACTTTTATCCACTCATCTGTCTTCATGTGTACATTTGCCTGATCAATTCTTGACATGCGGTTTTTGACCGTAGCTCGATACATGTGCGTGCGCAGGTCAGATGTCCTTGGGAAGTATCGGCCGTTTGTGTCTTGTGGTTGCTGATCATCTCGAAACAAGACCTCTTTCACGAAGATTTTTAAATGCCGTCTCATTTCATATATTTCCTTGACTCCCTCCGCAGTGAGCTCGTGGATTCTCTTGATGATCTTCTCATCAAGGGGTTGAGATATTCCAGCAACCTATAGAAATAAAAAACTCGAACTGTGAAAATGCTCGCTATTTCAAGTGGGAACGCCCTAGTAATGCACACCTATACGTTATTTACTCCTTTGCCATTTTTTTGTACTGTGTGAATGTTTGAAATTGTACTTTAACAACGACAAGAAAAACGAAATCATGCCGAAAAATGTACTGGCACTTTTATGTCACACTTTGACCGGCTTGCCCGTCGTGTACTTTTTTTCATTGGCCGTGGCATTAATTCGTGTGGAACACTGAGTTACCTCGCCAACAAAGTGATTCTGAAGGTCTGTAATGAGAGGTAGTTCAATGTAAATCCTTTTTTCATACTTAGCGATCCCTTATTCTAAAGCTTTTCGCAAATTTCTAGACGCAGTTTCCCGTCTCTTTTTGCTGTCTTCTTGAATCTGAAAGACGAAAAATCATACATTTGAAGGGAAACAATGGATGCCTTTTAACAGTTAATAATATGCGTGAAACCATTTCTCAGCTCTGTTTGGTTCATATGAATGCAGTTTTCAGTTAATTCAGTACAGAAGAGGGTTAATTCAATGCAAAGAAAGAAACAAATCAGACATTCTGATTGGTCAATGTCAAGGTCAATATCAAGGTCAAGGTCATTGTCACTTGCAGGGTTTGAATAAATTATTTTTGCACCTGATGCGCGCACTTTTCTTCTGCGTAGTTATGAGAAGCTACCTCGTACTTTTTCATGTATATTATTAATACATAATCACATGATTTTCTCGTGCAAAANAAAGAAAGAAACAAACCAGACATTCTGATTGGTCAATGTCAAGGTCAATGTCAAGGTCAAGGTCATTGTCACTTGCAGGGTTTGAATAAATTATTTTTGCACCTGATGCGCGCACTTTTCTTCTGCGTAGTTATGAGAAGCTACCTCGTACTTTTTCATGTATATTATTGATACATAATCACATGATTTTCTCGTGAAATTTGGAATAAATAAGCACTTGTAAATTTTTTCAAAGACCACAAATTGCACTCGCCCTACGGGCTCATGCATTGTTGTTAGTCTTTGAAATAATTTAATCGTGCTTATTTATTCCAAATTGCACTCGAAATCATGTGATTACCAATACAAACTGAATGCTTCTGATGAAGTGCACAATTAAGCTTTTCCCGCTGCTTCAACTCAACTTTTCTGTCAGGTTTTAAAATTGATTCATGGCGTTTATGTGGGTGAAAAGATAGCTTGGTGCTTCCAATGTGTTAGCTTTGTTTGACCGCACTAACGTCCCAGACAGAGAGAAAAAACATCAGGAATCTCGAAGTGTCTTTAATAACTAAGAACAAGACCACCTCTAGTGAATCGTCGTTCCAGTCATTAAGGTGACTATGTAGCATGAATTTTAGACAGTGATACCGCGTGTCGGATTTATTAAACCGAATTCGTTCTGTCAATACACGACTGGAACTACCTTGTGCTGTGCAAAAAATAAAATTTCTCGCATTTTTATCTGTGCTTTGCAGTCAAACTTCCGTGTGTCTTGAACGAGAAATCTTTTCTTGAACACGAAATCTTTGTGACAAGCCTTCTGTAAACGATAAGTATATCAGCGTAAGATGAGTGAAAGTGCATTTCTCAAGCTATTTTTTGGAATGTGAAGAAAAAGTGTCATTGCGTGATATTTGTGTCTGACCTTTCGGGTTAGCAAGCCGTAGGTGACACTAGTAACACCAATGTCGCAGATAAGAAAAATATGTGTACGTACAGTGCAATATTTCATTTACCTCTTCTGCATCTTTTCGTTTCCTTTTCTCTCCAGCTTCTCTATCTTTGCCGTGCCGACAATCGAACACTTTCCTTCCCAAAATTATGAAAGGCACACCAGTAAAAGGAATTTTTGCACCTTTAATGTCTAGTGGATCTTCCCAGAGTATTTTGTGACTTCTGTTCGAGTGATCTGTTGTTAAATTATGATGGAAGATAGGATCAGTAGAGCAAGGACGAGAGTGATACAAGCTAGCACGACGTAACGCTTTCAAATATACATCGACATACCAGTGTTTCCGAAACCTCTGTCAGCCTTCAAGGAAGAAAACTTCGTCGTCGATCCTGTTTCGAATTCCGCAATGAGTTTATACGCCTCATCAACAGAATTTACATATCCAAAATTATCCGCAACTCTACCATCAAGCAAAGGTTCGCGTTTTAAAATTCCCGCCATGTGGTTTCTGTTTGTTCTTCGGGTGTTCGGCTATGTCTCCGCGCGGATTTCCGAGAATCTTCGGTTATGATTTGGAAGTTAATTAAATATTCCATCTCAGTCCCTCTCGACCGAGGTGGTTTTGGTGGATGGCATCTAATGCTGACCCCATCCACACTTTGTACGATTTAATGACCACGTGACCATGGGTTTGTGACGACACCGCGCCACAGAGCGCCCTCTAACACCCAGAAAAAGTAGGTCCGCAATGCGTACATGTCGTACATGAAATTGAGCTGCTTTTTAGTATCTGGTGTCTTATAGAGTTTTAATTAGAAGAGCTTATATCTGATTACGGTTAGATAGTTTTCATTATTATTCCTGTTCATCGATAAAGTAAGATAACTAGTATACATTAGTCCTGAAATGTTCATTTTTAAGATGAGGGTTAAAGGACAAATTTTGTTATAGAGGTCTCATTTTGACAACAAAGGTCGCACGTGTAACCTAAGGATCTTAGGAACTAAAAAAAAGTCAGCACTATCTCCCATAGTGGCCTAATAGATTCAGTCATGATTTTTTTTTACGTGATGAAGTGGAATTGAGTTCTGAAGTTTGTAAGTTGATTGTCTTATCCGAGGCAAGTGACATGAAATTAACTCTAAGGGAGCATTTCATATTAATATTTTTGGCATTTTATGTACCAGTACCTAGGACAGAACTTTCCAGAAGGGCCGGGACGTTCGGGAAATGATGTAATATACACTGCCATCGGGAGGTTGATTTGGTTTGAATGTATGACTTATTTTGGACAATACATGATACATGTAAAGTAACACAATGCTGAGCATACGTTTATATTATCTACTAGGGCACAAAGTTCTATTTTCAGTTGGTTGAGAGAAAAGTGTTTACTCTAATTATTGTATTTGGTTTTTTGGGACTGTATTTTCAATCAAGAACTCAGAAGGATTTAGCTGAGGTAGGTGGATATGGGAAAAAAGATAGGTGCACAACAAGATCGGAACACAAGAAATATTTTCATGAGTCATACGTTAAGTAGTACTTTGGGGTATGGGGAATCTTTAAGGCTATGTCCACACGTATCCGGATATTTTCGAAAACTGAGATTTTTTTCTCCTTATTCGTCCACATGTAAACGCGAAAACGTTACAAATACGCTAGACTTCACATAAGGAGCATGCACAGACTAATGCCGCATGCGCCCTGGGATAAGAATAAGCCCGCGAAAATCAAAGAGTTTGCCGCCATCTTCGTTTGGGTTCTCCTCGTGTGAGTTTCTCCGTTTTATTTCTGTAATTCAGGCCGTTAAAATGCCAAATTCTTCCCAAAAGACAAGTAATGAAATGCCAGAATCTTCCAAAAAGGCATGTAAATCGAACGGGAAAGGGAAGACGGACTAAGACGCATAATACCAAGCTTTCTCCTTGCATAGTCACCCTGTAGGTTTATGTAGGCGACCTGTAGTTGTAGAAGGGTAATAAAACTCGAGATAAGGCCAAGTAAGAGTGGAACTAACATTGGGTTGATCGCCGCCAGGTTAATGATAATTTGTGGCCGAGTGCACTGGATCCTAACTTTGACGTCATCGTATTCGAAAACCTTTGTTTTCGACCGTCAACACGAATACGATAAATCTCCGTTTTTAAAAGTCTACAGTCTGGAGAGCGTATTCAAAAATCTCCGTATTTGTTGCCAAAAACGCCGTTTACATGTGGACGGGAGGTGCAAACGGGGAAAAAAATCTCCGTTTTCGAAAATATCCAGATACGTGTGGACGGGGTCTAAAACAGGAAATTTTTAAAGGCGGAAATCTTTAAAATGGAAAATCTTTAAAAGTGGGAATCTTTAAAACGGGAAATATATAGAAGCACTGAAGCTGTGAATCTTTCAAACGGGAAATCTTTAAAAGCGGGATTCTTTAAAACGAGGGATCTTTAAAAAGAGTAATTTTACAACGGGGAATCTTTAAAAGCGGGAATCTTTATTACAGGGAATCTTTAAAAGCGGGAGCCTTTCAAATCGAACTTTTTTTTTTGGTGGATGGCAGTAGCACTCGATTATTATTATTTTTTTTTTATTAGCCTGAATGGTAAGTCAGCCATCAGCCCTATAAGCTATTGTGATTGAATCAGGATTCAAATAACAGCCGGCTGCCGGTAGTCTCCCTCGCAGCCGTTTTTTTCGGATGTCATGCAACGTTCCCCCAAAAGAACGGCTGCTGACAACCGAACTACCTTCCTTTCTCATTGTCCTTGCGGTTTGGTCGCCGTCTATTGAACAGACCAGTCACATACCAGAAAATCTGAATGACGTAAGGTTTCACGCGAAAATGTGGATGTGGCAGATGATCTAGCTATCATGTCGAGAGAAACACTGAAGAAGTTTGTCGATGAGAGCTCGAAATGTTTCACATGTTCATCGTTGTGCCCTGGTAAAGATAGAGTATATATTTTTGAGAAAACTTCTCACAATTTGGTTGAAATCATAGAATCTACGCTTAACATAGGCGTCAACTGCTACGCCAACGACACGAACGCTAGATTGTTTGAGCGGTTGTTAAAGTTTCAGCGAGCAACTGAGAAAGTAAAAGAAGCTAAAACCTGAACTGAAACTCTTTATGTGCACTATTTCAAGAGGTTACTACAGATTATAAAAGTCAGAATATATAAGAAACAGTAAAGTACATCAATAATCAAAAGGAAATACAAGACGCCTTTCAATCTAGGCCAAGGGCTAAACGCTTGCTTGGACCTACAGATGGAGATCAGGAGGAAAAAAGCACGTGCTTGCCGTCACAAACCGAGCGAAGCTTCGAGAACAGTGCAATTTAGGTCGGCCAACGTCTCCTACACTACTTGTACTTCTTCATTTGCCAGTCCGCTGCTAGCTGGAGCGAACCCGAAGTTATGTTCGTGGCTTCTTACCACCGGTACAGGAAATCGTGTTTCCGCACGTTGGTACAACGCAACAACAATAACAATAATATGACCACTTTCATCGGTAACATGGTCAAACACGAGCGGGAGTGCTTGATATATTAACGATTTCCCGGATCCTGTAGGCAACTTAACAAAAACATCTTCTTTCTCGACTAAAACTTTTTTATTTGCAAGCTTCTGGTGAGCATTAAGCTCGAAAATTTTGAACTTTGACGACGCTTTGCGAAAAGCTCCTTCAAGCACCGCCATTTGTCTTGTGTTTTCCACATGAGGATCGCGATAGAAAACGATATCTGATTGGACGAGTCTCAAAAGGCGACTCTGGCGCCAAAAGGTTCCTGAAAATGGAACCCGAGCTGTGATTGGCCAATTTGGAGAAAGGAATGTAGTTCGGTTGTCAGCAGCCATTCTTTTGGGAGAGCGTTGCGTGACATCCAAAAAAAAACGGCTGCGAAGGAGACTAGCTGCCGGCGGCTATGGGTATCCATCCACGCCAAAATTCAAACTTGCTGTTCAAACATTTAGTTGTTCAATTCAAACATTCAATTCGTCACTTCAAACATCCAATTCGTCAATCAAACATTCAATTCGTCACTTGAAACATTCAACTCGGCAAGTCAAATGTCCAATTCGTCAAATCAAACGTTCAATTCGTCACTTGAAACATTCAAGTCGGCAATTCAAACGTCCAATTCGTCAAATCAAACATTCAATTCTTCACTTGAAACACTCAATTTCGGCAATTCAAACGTGCCATTCGGCAATTCAATCAACGCTTGGTCTGCGTACGAGAATGTGTCTCAGGCCTCTCTCCGTCTTTTTCGTGAAATGGGCTCGAAATTTGTTGCTCTCCGGGCAATTGTACTTTAGAGGCAATCATTATGGCTGGCCGAGCACCGAGAACTTTTTGCAATTTCCAGATAGGAAAAAAAATGGTGAATTTATGGGTTTTGATTGGTATTTGATTGGAAAAATACCGTAGAAAATGCTACTAAAACCAATCTTGGGTTTAAAAAAACCCATTATATCCCCAAAGATGAGATAAACTTGACCCAATTTAAACCCAGTAATGGGATAAATTTGACCCAATTTAAACCCAGCAATGGGATTAAATTGACCCAGTTTAAACCCAGTAATGGGATAAATTTGACCCAGTTTAAACCCAGTAATGGGATAAATTTGACCCAATTTAAGACCAGCCATGGGATTAAATTGACCCAGTTTTAACCCAGTAATTGGATTAGACTGACCCAGTTTAACATTTTGTTTCACAGATTAATAATATCATGCTCATACAATAACTTGCTTGCACAATAACTGAGAACAGCTTTACAGTTGTATAGATATAATGAACAGTTATTTTAATTTGTTTTGAAACTAAGTAACTTAACAAAACAATGGTCTTTGTATTCTTGCTATTTTCTTTCACATGAAATACTCTAGAGAGCATTTTCTTTGTGTACTGCAATGTCTTCCATTTTCAGGTTTGTAATGTTTGTCTCTGGCCCATCCTTGATTGAACAGTATCTCTGATTTACAAGTTTCTTAGCTAATACCTCCATCAGCTGGGTCATTGCTAATGATGTAAGTCTTTCTTGTTTTACAACAAACTTCTTTTTTAAGACTTTCACAACATCTTCCCTGTAAACTTGTGCTTCGCCAAACACTGCTTTGAAGATCACCTGACAAGCCTTTAGATTATATGTACACAGAACAGGATGTCTCGGCCCCGGATTAACATCTTTTAACAGCTGGGTGCTACACAAGTTTTCATCACTCGAGGATTCTCTATCACTCTCAGTAGTGTCTAGTGAAAGTGTTGATTGTGTATCATTGAAATCTCTGTCATTATCTTTATTTTCATCCACCTGCAGAAACAACAAAATGAAAATTTTTCATCGAAAACTTGCAAGGTGGCTATTCCTAGAGTATGGTAGTTGGGTCTTCTGTGGCTCTATAAATATCCAGCGGGAACTACCACGCCTCTCCTGGAATATTATAGCAATGTTGTTTGAAGTGGAATTTCATCGTTGTGTTCAAACTCAATAGTGAATTAAA